ATGCATATTTTTTAATGAATAAAATTAAAATGAGTAAATAAATATATAATTTTTCTACATTCATACCAAGCCAAACAGATGTGTATTCACAAGAGCAAGTCGACCTGATTTCTATGATCTGTAAGAAGAGTTAACCAGTTAACTGTGGTAAAAGGAAGCAGTACTGGACTTGCAAACAGAAGACTTTGGTTATAGTTCCAATTCTGCCAGTCTATCACTTTAGTCATGTTACCTAGGGTCTTTTTAAATATTAGAGTCCTCGTATATAATGTAAGGGATATTAAATACCTACCCCATGAGGATGGTGTTAAAATTACAAATGAGAAGGTATGTATTAAAAAGCTCAGTAAACTGTAAAATGGCAAGGTATCATTAGTATTACTCTGCATTAATTATGTATGGCATATCATTCTAGACATTTTCAAAGATGCTCTAAGCTATCCTCTGAGAATGAATAAAAAGGCAAGAAAACTGATTTACTGCTTAAATAGTAGTATCACTTTCCTACAGTTAATTTTCTGACTAGATTATAAGTATGTTAATAATTATGGAAAGTTTAAAATCTAATTTGAAGTACTTAGAGGTAGAGAATAATTACTTTTTAGCAAAAGAGACAGGTGATAAAAACAGCATTTAAGAGAAACACTAATTATTCAGTATCAAATACTAAAGACCACAAAAATTCTCAAAATTAGCCAATCACAATTTTTCAGGTAACAGAATAAGTCAATTACTAGAAAACTAAAATTCCATCATTTAAAAGAAAAAAAAAGAACTGAAAAGAATCATTTCCCTGAAAGATTTAACTTGCTAGCTTCAAAGGAGTGTTTCAACAACAGAACCTTCATTGTAGGTACTTACAGCATGCCCAAGTACTGCATGTGCAATTTCATGGCCCAGAAGGAACGAAAGCTGATGAATATCAGTCACACTATTTAAAAGCCCAGTGAAGATAAACACTTGTCCATTCTGCACCATAAAGAAAATAATGTAAGCAACTAGAACACCATAGAAAACAAGAACGTTAAATTTAACAAATAAAAATTAGGCTGGATAACACTTGCTTACTGGAAGCACAAAGGCATTTATATCTGGGGTATCAACCACATGAATAATCCAATTGATCTCAGAGATCCCTGGAATATCTTTATTGCATTCAATTAAATGATGAACCACCTCTTTAACAGTCACATATCGGGCGTCTTTCTCAGGAAGCATATCATTTTTAAATTCTTCCATCCACTGAAAGATTAAAAAGAAAAGTAGTCTTTAAGAGAGCGTAAGCTCTACAAAATGTTTCTACTGCTTTAAGGAAAGTTACATGGCTATTTATTGTTGAACATTTTAATTTTTAATTATGTAAAAATATGCATATATTAAGCACTCAAAATTTTCATATTTGAATTATTCATGCAAAGGCAATCTGGTTTCTCACAAATGGAATAAATTCTAATAACTAAGATTTTTCATATAAATTGGTTGAAGTAAAAATTTCATTTATCTTTTCCATTAGCCTATAAACAAATAAAATGCTTAAATATTATTTCTACTTTTCCAAATATTTTAGAAAACAAAACATCGTCTAGAGAACATAAAGATATTGTATAAGAAAATAAAATACAGAAGAAAATTACTTTCATAACATACTGAATAGAAAAACACCCTATACTTAATAATAAAGTTAAACACCTACCAAAAAAAGGACAATATCTTATTAATTTTAAAGTGTTTTACCCACATAGACTGAAAGGAAATTGCCGAAATTTTAGAACAGAATGGCATATCATTTTCTCTATACTATGCTGACTTAGACTACCTACCATATGAAGACACTTTTTCTGAAGCTATATTCATGAAGGACTCTTTCAAGTGTACTTAGAAAATTAAGGATAGTCTAAAAACATTAAATTTCTGGAAAACCTATAATTTCTTACACATATGAATCAAGTCTGTAACCTTCTTCCTTGAGATGCATTAAAAATAGATGATTTTATAGAGTATGAATTTAATAGTCTTCATATCAATTAGCATTTTTTAAAAGTACAAGTCACCAGTGTAAACTGTGTAAAACAAAACCACTGAAGTACATACAACAAAGCTTTATGTAACTACAGTACTTTATGATAATCCTGTGAGAACACGTATTTGAATTTTCATATCAAGCAGCTGTTACACTTGCAGGACAAAAATAAGAAAAAAAAGAATACACCTATGTACATGTATATAATTTTTTACAGCGTCTTAGTGATATAAATAGTAGAAGACGCACTAACTTAACACTAGGCCTTTCTCAATCTTAACACTTTCCTCAAACATGCCTCTGACTAGACTATTCTAAAACACATCTCAAATCTCTGTAATAAACTCTGTATAGAAGAGATTGGTCTTGTCTTTATTAAGAACAATCAATTAAGAACATTGTTACTTTTTTGTAGTAACTTTCCATTGACCAACTCAGAAGCTCAATTGAAATAAAAATAGGTAACGATCCGACCATGCCAAAACTGTCAAGTGAGCCTATAAGATTTCAATTCAACAAACATTAATTGAGCATATACAGGTATACCTAGGATGTACTGTGGGCTCCTGTCCAGACCACCACAATAAAGTGAGTATCTCAATAAAGTGAGTCACATGAATTTTTTGGTTTCCCAGTGCATATAAAAGCTACGTTTACACTATATTGCAGATAGTATGTGCAATAGCACTATGTCTAAAAAAATTATGTATATACCTTAAAGAATACTTTAATTTAGCTAAAAAATGCTAACCATCATCTGAGCCTTGAGCAAGTCATAATCTTTTTTAAAACAATAAAAGATCACAGATCATAGATCACTGTAACAAATATAATAATAACGAAAAAGTTTGAAATATTGCAAGAATTACCGAAATGTGACTCAGATATGAAGTAAGCAAATGCTGTTGGAAAAATGGCGCTGGTAAGACTTGCTCGACGCAGGGTTGCCACAAACCTCCAATTTTTCAAAAATGCAGTATCTGCAAAGTGTAATAACGTGAAGCACAATAAAATGAGGTCTGTCTATACTGTGTATGTGCTAAGCACAAGGGGTAGAAGATGATCTGTCCTCAAGGCACTCACTACTGGTATGAAATGGTTAACTACCTGAGTTATTATATTTTCCAAGGAGTTAATTCCAACTTTATTTTGCATTCAGAAAATACAGTAAGTTGCGAAAATTGATGTTTGAGGGGAAAAAAGATCTTCTTCTACTTTATTTTCAAGGTGCAAAAATTCAGATTACAGATCTATTTATCCAAAAAATATATATAAAGCACTACTTTGTACAGTACTTAAGATAAAATGATAGATAAAACAGACAGGGTCTCTGTCCCCATGGAGCTAGTCTAGCAAGGGAGACAGATCAGCAAATAATTATGCAAATAATTATTAGGTTACCCTCATGATAAGCGTTTTAGAAGAAAACTACAGTATGCAAAGAGAAAATAAAAGGAGGAGACCTAACCCCAATACAGCCAAGCACTAAGCACAACGACAAATGACTGATTCAAAATGCAGTCTCTGTGAAGGACACCCGCTAGAACCTAACGCAGCCACCCTGCCTAACCCAGTCAGGATAATCCAGGAAGGCTTTCCTAAGAACGTGACGTTCAAGGTGACATGTGATGAGCAGGAGTTAGCTGGGTGAACGGGAGGAAAAGCAATGCAGACAGCAGGAATACTAAGTATGAAAGGTCTGAGGCCTTTTGGAAAAAAATGCTAATTTCCTATCAAAGATTAAAATAAAGTAGCACATCTTTCATATTTAAGAAACTTCCCTGCTTCGAGTACTTTATCAAGCAATCTAATTGAAAACAATTCTTACTACTTACTGCTTCATATTCCAGTTCTGATAAAAGTCTGAAATGTTCTTTCCCCAATAATAGTAGCTTGCGCCTTCCTGTGACTGGACTCACTTCCAGGTGAGTAAAATAAAACACTACAAAGAGCAATCCAGAACTACTCAAACCAAGGAATAACTTCCATTTATTCTTCCTTATACTTTCTTTAAATAGTTCCTTCTTGTTAGGAGGAAGTGCCTGCCACCATTTCCTTATGCCCCTAAAGCAAAAAGAAAAATTCAAAGTTCTGGTAATAGAATTAGTACATATCATTGAATCAACATAACACTTATGCTAAATTTTTGTCAAACACTTGAATTTTTATATTTCTCTGTATAGATGATTTTTTCAGTTTATAAAATTCTTAGCTAAATGATGAAAAAGTAATCAGTTATACAGAGCTATAGCTAAAAAACTATAGTTAAAAATTCTAATGTTCGGCTAAATTTTCTTCTGCAGTTATTTTAAAGGTAAGTGCTAAGTGAGAAGCTGTTTTACTACAACTACCACTAGTTAACATGTATTGACTGTTTAGCACATTCACAGTACTATTCCCATTGCTATACAAATGTCATCTTATTTAATCTTCACAGTAACCCTGCTACGGAAGAGAAAATTGATATAGAGAAGTTAAACCATTTGTCCAAAGTCAGAAAGGTAACAAGAGGAAAGCCAGGCAAGAAAGGCAATGTGACAGCAGGGATCAATTGCCCAAGTAAACATCCGAGGGGGCCATGGTTCAGTAAAGCTGTACCTTTAACCACCATTCCCCCTACTGCTCATCAGACATCAAGCATTTGGCACTATCTGCCAGTATGTCAGCAAGGTACAAGGGGAAATCTCAGTATTGGTTTTAGAAACAAATATTGCTCAGTCGCAGAAACTCCATGAACCCCTCAAGAACATGACAAAGGAGAGCTAATATGAAGAGCATAAGCACTGTAAATACAGAAATGAGAGATTTTATAGATAACATCAAGGCGATCCAGTTCCACCAGGCAACAATGTACTCTCTGTTGCTTATCAGGGTTCAGAGACATTTTTGACAAGCAATGTTTCCAACACTGGGACAAAAACTGTTCCAAGTTGAGTTCACCTATGAAATTACAACCAAAATTTAAAATATATACATCATTCAAAATGTATTTTATGCAACAACTTCTTTAAGTTACCTTAGTTTTGTTAAGTGACACACCTAAAATGCCTTTAAAGTGTTTTAACCTAAAAAAGACTTAGATCAAACTATGAAGTATACTTATTTTCAATTTAAAACTTTATATGACATTAGTATTTATTTAAAATGTATGAAAGCATATCCTAAAAGAAAATGTTAGGTGATTTACAGTAGTAACAACAACAAGACAGTTAAATAATTACAAGGAATGAAAAAGAGCTATTGGCCCAAGAACCTGAGCTGAGTTGTGACAAAGATTCTCTCCTCCAGCAAACTCTACTCAGACCTGCCTGATCTCTCTTTCAAGTAGGCCTTGACTTTTGGACTCCTGTATTCATCTCAGCATTGTCCAATAGCAAGAATCCTGCTAAGTCAATTCAGCCAGAATCCCCGCTCCTCCAGATCTAATTACTCTTGATATCTAATCAGCTCCTTATTATTCATCACCACCCAGGGGATGTCTGCTCACCCTTGCTGCCTTCAGCAAGAGCCCTGGTAGATCAGTTAAGCTAGAATCTTGCCCTGACTCCTGATGTCTTCTGTCTGTAATTTTCCATCCACCAGCCCCCATCCTGCCCACTCACCCATGCTGTATTCAGAAGTTACGCTGATTCTATATAGAGGTCTTCCTTCTCCTACTGCAATGGTCCTGAATAAAATCTGCTTTTGCTGCTTTAATTATTGTCTAGCTTTGGCTTAGCAATCATTATTTAAATTGAAAGCTAAATCAGCTGTATATTTTCTGGGCGTTAATGCCTCATCACAAAGAACACAATAAATTACAGAGTACAAGTCCTCGATTTTTGATAAAAAGAAAACTGGGTTGGTTAGTACAGAAGTAAGGCTAGAAGGCACTTCATAGTTGCCAAACGAAAGAAAGCTTTATAAGGAGATAATGCTTAAATTTACCGTTCTTCAATTTTCATGAAGCAAATAAGAGAAAACAGGGTTAATTACGAGGGGGAGGTTCAAATTAAATATAAAGTACTATTTAGCTATCAAAACATTAATTATTATAAAGGACCACAAAGAGAAAATAAGGATTTGTTGGAAAAAGAATAGAAAAACAAATACTAATTAAGAGCTGACTTGGCTAGGAATGAGCCCTTTCTCAAATAAGCGAAGTTCTTCAGTTTCATGATCCATTGCCTCAAACTCCATGAACTAAAAAGTAATGTTTGTAAGTACTGTTCTTACATATGAGCGAGCTATAACAAACATTTCTTATTCTCGTAATCATAAATACAAGCTCTTTTAAATAGTGTCTACACAAAATATATAAGAAAAAATTTTAAAGACCACATTTCTATAATATGCAGTAAATGATTTCAAGATTATTAAGTCATACATAACAAAACTAGGCAGAACCAACTGTTTAGAAACTTAATTCTGAGCTAAATCTGGAAGGGAAATCAAACAAGTTTTCTTTCAAAGGGTAGTTCTGCAGATACTTTTTAACAGAAAAGTTTGTTTTTTAAAAAGCATTTTACCTGCCCACAATGATTGCAAGTAGTTTCTGCACTGGTTTAAGAATCATCAGCAAGAGAGGAACTGGAGCAGCTTGAAACCGTGGAGAAGTATGGAAACTCCTGACGTCTCTTATGGGCAAACAGTTTAGAGGACAAGATACTGAAAGAGGAGAAACTCCTGGAATTTCTTTCCTCAGATGCTGTCTAGAAAAAGAGTTATTCCAGGCAGTACATTTTTGGGAAACCATCCCAATTTCCTTAATGCTGGCGCTCAAGAAGCATCCTGTTCTTTTGCTATTAAAAGTCCTAAAGAAATGATAGTTTTCAGGAAGAAAAGTCAGTCTATCACCCTGATTTAGTCCCAGGTCTTGAGACTTATTTACTGTACAGTTAATTTTCACTTGAGGATAGTCCAGTGAAGTTACAGCTAGCGTGTGACATTTTCTCCAGTTGGTCAGTAAACTGAAGCGGAAGAAAACACAGTTTCTAGCAGCAGACTGCAGTCCATGGATGAAGCTCATCTCTGTTTTGCTTGATTATCTGGAACACAAAATATAAACTATAAATATCCCAAGAAAACACTTATTAACCAAACTGAGAATACAACACTTATGAAAAAGGCGTTCTTTTCTTTACTCATCTCTGACTAAATTACCTTGGGTTTCTACTCACCACCCCTGCATCAATGCCTCTTAGCAATAAAAATCAAACAGATATTATGTCTTTATTTATTTTTTTTTACTCAAGAACCTGTACTTTCAAAACTTGGATTATTTTCCTTCCCTCTTTTCATTTTTCACCTTTATTTTGGGAAGTCTATTTCTATTTTAACAGATAAATTTGGGAAATAAGAAATGGATTAAACAAAAACAGCACTAAGTTTCAGCAAGTAACAGTAACTGGGGGAAAGAGTATTTAAGGGAATAGTAAAATCTAACATAAAATGTATTTTTAAAATACAAATTTTTTCCTTTCAAACATAATACTGGCACTTCTGATTCACATCAAGACAGAGTAAGAGGGACCAGTGACTTATCCTCTCATTAAAAAACTGAATATGAAGACCTAAACAAACATTTTTCTAAAGACATACAGATGAAAAGAAGCTCAAGAAAAGAAGCTCAAAATCGCTAATTACTAGAGAAATGCAAATCAAAACCACAATGAGGTATCACCCTACACTGGTCAGAATAGCTATCATCAAGAAGTCTACAAATAATAAATGCTAGAGAGTGTGGAGAAAAGGGAACCCTACTACACTATCTGTGACAATATAAATTGGTGCAGCCACTACGGGAAACAGTATGGAGGATCTCTTAAAAACTAAAAATATAGCTACTATATGATCCATCAATCCTATTCCTAGGCAAATACCCAAAAAAGATGAAAACTCTAATTCAAAAAGATACATGCACCCCAATGTTCACAGGAGCACTATTTACAATAGCCAATGGAAACAACCCAAGTCCCTATCAACAGACAATGAGCTTAAGAAGATGTGGTATACATATACAACAGAATACTACTCAGCCATAAAAAAGAATGAAAATATTGCCATTTGCAGCAAGATGGATGGACTTTAAAGACAAATATTATATCACATATACCTAGAATTTAAAAAAAAATACAAATGAGTCTATATACAAAACAACAGATTCACAGACATAGAAAACAAACTTATCGTTACCAAAGGGGAAGAGGGGGAGGATAATTAAAAGTATGGATTAACAGATACAAACTACTATACATAAAATAGATAAGCAACAAGGATTTACTGTATAGTGCAAGGAATTATATTCAATATCTTGTAATAATGGAAAATTATCTGAAAAAATATATATATAACTGATTCACTTTGCTATAAACCTGAAACTAACACAACATTGTAAATCAACTATACTTCAATAAAAGAAAAAAAAGAGTAAGTAAAACAATGGTTCCAACATACTGGACATCAGACAATGAAGAACAGTCATTCCTGAGAGATGGAAAACAAATAAGGTGAGCCCTATGATTGCCCCAGCTTATTCCTTAGAGAAAGTTTCCAGGCCCTATGCAGAGAGGGGAAACCTAGCACAGCCCAATGGTCCCCCTACATTAAAGGGATGAAGCTAGGAATTCAAGTAGGCCACAGTGGCTGGAGCTCACAGAGCAGAGTACAAGAGAAAACAGAGCTGCACAGAGAAGTAACTCCAGATTGCTGCAGAAAATCCACCTTGTGTATTCAGCTAAGTCCTGATCAGGGCATACATGTGAGAATACTCCCCAAAGCTGGGAAAGACCAGCTGACATTAGAGGAACAATATACAGGACTCACACAGGGCAGAGCACAGTGCCTGCTCCCATGCTCCAAAGTAGAAAATCTTTTAATTGAAAGGCATTGGGTAGAGTACTCAGAAGGGTTTTTTTGCCTCAATATGAGAGAAACATTAGTCCTAGACTAAAAGCTGCTCTGGTCCTACCTAACAGAGATTAAACACAACACCCCAAAAGATCAAACTGTTTCTAAGTAGCCTCATTCTAGAAGAAAATGTTCAAGAATATTTATAAGAATACAAAAATACCCAACACTTAACAAGGAACAATTTATAAATAAAAATTATCAGGCATGCTATGTGACCTGTGATTATGAGGAATATCAATCAATAGCAACTAACTCCTAGATAACACAAATTGCAGTATTAGTAGCCTTAGTTATTATATCTATATCGCATATGTTTAAGAAGCTATAAGAAAGTCTGAGCATGTTACACAGAGGCATGGAATATATTCTTTTTCAAAGACCTACACTGAACTTCTAGATTAGAAAACTACAATGTCTTAGATGAAAATTACACTGGATGAGACTAACACTAGGTTAGACATTATAGAAATAAAGACGTATGAACATGACATATCAATAGAAACTATCCAAAATGAAATGCACAGAAAACAGGCTTTTAAAAATGCATAGAGCATCAATGAGGTGTGGGATAACTCAAGTAACCAAATACACATGTAAATGGAGTCCCCCAAAAGGGGGAGGGATAATAGACAGAAAAAAAAAACTTGAAAAAATCATGCCCCAAATTTTCCAAATTTGATAAAAACTGTAAAACCACAAATGCAAGAAGTTCAACAAGCCACACACACAGGAAACACAAAGGAAACTACTCCAAGATATATCATACAAATTTCTTAAAACCAATGAAAGAAAAAAATCTTAACTTTGACATCTTAGATTAAATGGATACATTCCTTTTAAAACATAAACTACCAGAGCTCACTCATGAAAAAAATAAATAACCTGAAGAGCCCTATACCCAAGTTTTAAAAACTGAATTTATACTTAAAAACCTTCCCACATAGAAAGCTCCAGGACCAAAGGCTTCACTTGGGAATTCTATCAAATATTTAAAGATAAATTAATAATTCTATATAAACTCTTTCAGGAAATTAAAAATGAATAGCTTTCAACTCATTCCATAAAACCAGCATTACCCTGACACCAAACACAGAAAAAAAATTTTTTTAAGAAGACTATAGAGTAATATCTCTCATGAACACAGATACAAAAATTCTTAACAATATTTTAGAAAATCAACAATATATTAAGAAGACAATAACATCATGACCAAGTGAGATTCGTCCCAGGAATGCAAGGTTGAATAAAAATTCACAAATCAGTGTAATTCACCCTACTAACTGAAAAAAGAAACACCTGATCATCTCAAAAGACACAGTAAAGACATCTGATAAAATCCAACATCTAACCCTGATAAAAACTCAGTAAACTAGGACATCTATAGAAACCTAGCGCCAACAGCATTTTTATTGGTGAAAGACTATACTTAACTCCTAAGATTAGGCAAGGATGTACGCTCTCCCCACTTCTATTCAACACTGTACTGGAGATCCTAGTCAGTGCAATAGAATTAAATACACACATACATACATAACTAAATAAATGACATCTAGACAAGAATAAGTAAGTAAAATGGTCTTCATTTGTAGATAACATGATTGTCTATCCAGAAAATCCAAAGAAATCTACCCAAAAAAAGCTATTAGAATGAGTTTAAGGTGGCAGGATACAAGAGTTAACACACAAAAACAATTTTATTTCTATATACTAGCAAGCAAGAGCAGACAGACTCACACAAAGGGAAAACATACACAGGAAAAAACACCCCTCTCCCACCGAAACCATACTCCATGATTCCAGCTCTAAAATATAAACTGTAGAAATGCAAACTGATTTATAGTTACAGAGAAATTCGAGGATGGAGGGGTAAAGAGGGGCAAGTGAGGCATTACAAAGTTTTGGGGGCAGTTAAAATCTTCACTATTTCGACTGCGGCATTTTCACAGGTATACACATAATCAAAACATACACAGTTTAAATGTGTACAATTTATTGTATACCAACTATACAGCAAATAAGCTGTTTTTTTTTAAGTTAGTAAAAAGAGACAAATGCAACGGGTGAACTTTGATTAGATCCTAGTTTGAAAGAAAAAAAAACTAGTTTAGAAGACAACTGGGACTATTGGGGTAATCTGAGTATGAATTTGCTTTTAGGTTACTTTAGGTAAGTATCACTTATTTTCTTATGATAATGATGTGGTTATGTAGGTGAATATTTTATACCTGAAATATTAGCTGAATTCTCTTCTTCATAATAAATAAAACTTTCAAATATTGTAATAAAAGTATATGCACATATACACACAGGACATAAAGACAATACAGTAAAATGCTAACAATCTTTATAGCTAAGTGGTAGTTATGTATGTGCTCATTAAATTTTTTTTCAGTTTTTTTAATGTTCAAAACCTTCATAACAAAAGTCGGGGGAGAAATACATAAATCTAACTCAACCTAGGCTAATACAATATTATCTGGAAAGATGCTTCAGAACATCAGTTTTCATATAAATAGTATTACCTACATATCAAACTGTTAGAAAAGTACTCCAATTTTTTACATACTTCATACATTCTGCCTTTCCATTACTAACGTATAATGCGAATAAAGGGTACGCTAAATAAACATTAACTCCTAGTTAACCATTTTTTTAATTACTACCAATTTTAAATCAGTAGAGTCCAAGCTGATATACAACAGTTTGTTAACAAGATACTTTCTAGTTTTCTTTTTCCTTTTTGAATCTAGCTGATAAGCGGTAAAATATCTGAAGCCTGGAAAGTATTTTAAAATTAGTATTTGAGTAGCTATTAAGATTCTTCACTGGCTAGGTGGCATGTGAGTTCCATGCCAAATTCAATCCCTCACCTCAGGTTATAATCTTGTTGAGGAGAAAAAAGTACTTCAGTAAGACTATTAGGAGACAGTAAAATACAGTTCTTTGTTAAGTGCTATGTACCGTACAAATTTTTTTTTAAAAAAGGGTATCTATCAGGCAGTAGGATAGTTGAGGAAGGCAACTTTTACTTTTTATGCCATTTGGATAGATGCAGAAAAAAATACTTCTTTAAGATTTATTTCAAACAGGAAAGTGTACCTAAAATAATACAGAAAATCTACTAGAAGTCGAAACTGCAAAAAAAAGACAGAAGCACACTTTCTTTCCATTACTGTAGTAAACAAGGTTCAGACACTTAACCAACTACACTCCCTTTTTGTAAGTGCATTCTACAGCCTCAATTTAGGGGGCAGGACTAAATTGCCATGTTTGTCCCTACTGATACACAGATTCCGCTCAGTTTTTGACCTCTGAATAATGTTATTCATCCATTCATTAAATATTTCATAAGTGCCTACTACACACCATACCACACACCCTTCTGGATGCTAGGGATACCACAGAAAACAAAACAGACAAAAATCTCTACCCAACCGGCATGAATAGCAATGCTAGCGCATGCTAGTATATACAAATATAAATAAAACTGAAGGAATATACACAAATGTATTCACAGTGATTATTTTGGGTAGCAGGATGATGGTTGTAAGGGATTTGGTATTTCCACCTTATATATTTCTGTGCTGCTTAATTTTTTACAGGATGTATTATTACTTTATAAGCCCCCAAACCAATAAAGGCAAATATTTTTGTAATTTCCATTGGTTTCCATGGGCTTCAACAAACTGCTTCATATTGTAGACCAGACCTCTCATAAAACCACCTCTATTTCTCCAGGCACCTTCCCCACTCCTCCTTCACCCACTCCTAAGCTCCAGACCCACTGATTTACTTAGAGCTCTCAGAAAAGCTCTCACGTCTATGTCTATGCACATTTATTTACACTGCTTAGCTCTTGCTCACATTTCAAGCAAACTTCTCATCGTTCACGACTTCTGTGAAATTTTTTAAAGTATTCTACTGACAGAAGGTGTCAAAAGCAAAAGCCTCAAACACTATACACGTACAAGTAAAAACACTATCATTGTATCACTGACAATCAAATGTCACCTAGAACAGAAACGGTGCCTGATATATTGTAATCCCTGGTTTATCCTTAAGAGTAAAGAATGGGAGAGGAAATCTATTTATACATCTTCAAAGAGCAAATCACTAGACTACACAGTGCAGAAGAAAGAAATCAGGGCAGGCACAGCCTCTTCAAAGAACTGTAGCAGGTCAACAAACATAGCTGGCAGACTTCTAGGATTACCAAATTAATGATGTGAGAAAATTAAACAATTTGGATTGTTAGCCTCTAAGAACATTTCAGATCCTTAATTCTTTAAGTACCATCTCAGAATGAGCAAGTACAAGCACTCACTGGCACTCAGCTGAAGCCTGGAAGACAGTTTTAACAACTCTGCTGAAAACCACTATTTCTTCTCTAGTTTCTATGGAAACAGCTGTCAGATTGGCAAAAATAGTACACGTACTTTAAAGTAATTATTCCCACAAAGTACACACATGATGGAAGGCTTAAAAAAAATAATAAATTGGAAGGCAACAGACTTGGATCTTAAGCTTCCAAATGTCAGATTGTACCCCTTAACCATGGCTGAGAATGATGGAAATGAGCCTAAATCCTTTGAGTGAGGGTTACATGGCACTGGTCGGAGTCACTACAGTTGATCAATCCCTGGATTCCCAATGGGGTATTTTCATCTCCCTGGACTAAAATTTCTCATTGAGGACTGCAGGGCACAATACAACTGTTGCTCCATTTTACATAGACAAGTGACATTATTTATATAGCATAAATAACGCTTTTTGTAGACAACTTCATGAAGAAATTAAATTCCCTACAACAGTTTAGACAAGGAATTTTCTACTTTTCATTGTAGGCGGTAGGTAGGAAAACTTCTATTTTCTCTACTTTAAGAGTGAGGAGGCAAAAGAGGGGGCTTGAGTCGCAAGATGTCTTAAGCAGCTGCAAGCGGTTTTGCACAGGTGAAGGTATCACTGTGAGACGCACGATTCTGCGTTAACAAGAAACAATTTTTAAAAGGGGGCCGCTAAGGAGAAGGAAAGGCTGGGAGGAGGCGGAGGCTATCTAACCAGGAAACGCAGCAACCTGTCAATTTGCAACTCCCGCGCAGCCAGGGCAGCATCCCGGGGTCCCTGCACTTCACGCAAAGAGGGGACAAGGAGGGAGAAAGAGGCCTTACTCCCACGTCCCCCTTTCCCACTTGCCCGGCTCCCCGACTCCCGCCAGACGCCGGGTTGCCTCTCCCTCACCACCCCACCCCCGCCGGGTCCCCACGAGCCCCAGCTCCTCGCCCCAGCGCCCCTCGAAGCTCTCCCCACCCAACTCCAGTACTCTGGCCCCCACCCTGGGCCCAGCCCAACTCCTAAAGGCAGGGCAAAGGCGTCCCCACAAAGACAGACCCTAGCAGTGGCGAAAGCGAAGACTCCTCCGACCCGACCTTTGCGCACGCGCACACCCCGCCAGAGAAGCCCCGCCTCCTCACTTCCTGCCCTTGGTGCTGACCTGGGCGCCTTCTGCTCCGCCCACACCGGTCAGTCAATACACCCGCCCAGAGTCGTTCTCCCTGCGGGCCCGGGAGCAGAAGTGGCTGTGGCGCTCTAGCGCCCTCGCCTGGTCGGAGGAGGGACGTGGCTGTGGGCTGGGCTGCTTGCCTGGAAACATCTTCGCTTAACTCATGTCTTTGAACCCGACTTGGGTCCTCTAAAGAGTGATCCAGGCAAGGCTGAGCCCGCTGTCGACTCTCAGGCAGTGCTGGCGAAAAGGAAAGAGACTCAAGGGCTGCCAAAAGACTAAGGTTTCTTGGTTCTGAAGTTGCACTGATAGAAGTAGTCTTTGAAGTGTGAAAACTCTGCTTTCACATGGCTTCTGGAGTGGCACATTTGAAGGAAGATGAAGTATAACCTGAAGCACCTGGAAGTTAGTTAAAAATAGCTGGCTGCAGCAATGTGTATAGTACACTTCATTCATTCCACCAAAAAAATATTTATTGAGCACCAAGTGTATCCTAAATGCCAGGGATACAGCGGAGAACATTTAAGAATTGGCTGTTGTTCATGTAACATTTCCCCTGCCTGACATTTGTCTTTCAACTTTAATTCATGTCTGCATATATACATAATTTTTTAAATTTTAATATAGACAGATCTATCCATCTTTTTCATCGCGGTTTTTGCCTTTGAGGTCATGTTTACAGTCTGTCTCAAGCCCAAGATTACATGTTTACCAATATTTTCTTCTAGTATTTAATGACTGTCCTTTCTTAAATCTTTAGTCTACTAAGAATTTATTTCAGCGGAAAGTAAGACAGAAAAATATAACTTATTTTCTGAATAATTAGGCCAATGGAGCTTTTATAAAAGACACATGCATATGCCCTTCCCATGGTAGGGATCACCAGGGTAACTGCTGGTCCAACAATTTATTGAATAGCCCATCCTTTCCTGTCTCAGTCACTTTTGTTATACACTAAATTCTCCTAGATACCCACATCTGTTTTTGGACTTTCTTTTGTTCATTTGTCTGTTCTGGCACTGGTATATGATTCTGATTATATATTCTAAGTTTACAACATAGATTTTATTTTCAAATATTTTCTGACTCTCCTTACACATTTGACCTTTAAGATGAACTTTAGAACTTTTTTCAAGTCCTCCCCACCAAAAATGCATTGGGATTTTGATTTTGTTATTGCTATTGTTTTTAAACTTTGATTAATTTTGAGGAAATGTGTATCTTTGCAATACTGACTCTATCAATTCAGGAAACTGACATGTGTCTCCATTTATCCCAGTCTTTTTTTATGTCCCTCCATAAAGTTTTACAGTTTTCTTTTATGGGTCAAAGCAGTATATTTTTTAAAGGAACTATAAACTTTGACTTGTCATCGTAGAATTATAGAATCTCAGAGCTGAAAGGGACTTAAGAATCATCTCATCATCCCACCCAAGCTGTTGCTGAGTTTTCCTCGCAAACAACCATAGATGTGGAGTGTATTTTGGTGGGGTTTTTTTTGACATAATGACATTAACTTACATGTGTTTTCTGTGACTTCCAGTTTAGTACTTGAACAACAAGTCTTGGAGAAATTTCTGTATCAATGTATAGTGGTCAATTTAATCTATTTTAATCACTACATGGTGTTCTATGGAAATGGTATTGCATCATTTAATTTATTATTCCCCTGTTATGGACATTGAAATGATTTCTATTGTTTTGCTCTTACAAATGGCTTACAACCTTGAACCCTAACTAAAATCAAAGTCCCCAGAATTCCAGAGCACACACTAGCCTGCAAAATCTCCCTTTTCAAAATCACCACCCACCACGTGGCACAATGCCTGTTCAAAGAAAGGCTTTTCTTTTGCTTTCCACAGTATCTTTCAGTTCTATTCAAGAAACATTTATTGAATATGCATTGTATAGTTAACACTGGAATTTTGTGGGATTTTTTGGGTTTTTTTTCTTTTATTGAAGTATAAGTTGGTTTACAATGTTGTGTTAATTTCTGGTGTACAGCATAGTGTTTCAGCTCTACATATATATTCCTTTTCATATTTTTTATTATAGGTTATTATAAGATATTGAATATAGTTCCTTGTGCTATATGGTAGAATCTTGTTGTTTGTCTATTTTGTATATCTTGAACTCCCAATTTATCCCTCCCTGGTAACCATAAGTTTGTTTTCTATGTCTATGAGTCTGTATCTGTTTTGTAAGTAAGTTCAGTTGTGTCATATTTTTAGATTTCACATATAAATGATATCATATGGTATTTTTCTTTCTCTTTCTGGCTTACTTCACTTAGAATGATGATCTCCAGTTCCATCCATATTGCTGTATATGGCATTATTTTCTTCTTTTTTATGGTTGAGTAATATTCCTGTGTGTTTGTGTGTGTGTGTGTGTGTGTGTGTGTGTGTACACCATAACTTCTTTATCCAATCACCTATCTATGGACATTTAGTTTGCTTCCGTGTCTTGCTTACTGCAAATCATCACTGAAATTCTGTAATATCCTAATTTCAACACAAAAAACAAGTTCATTAATTCAAAAAATGCTTATAGAGTGCACATATGTGCCAGGCACTCTGTAGGTCTGAGGGCTCCAGGGAAAATTAACAATCTCTAGCTATTCTTCTGGACTCCAACAATTCCCAAAATAAAATAGGGGTCATTACAACGTGATACCCATTTATTTCTAAGCCCGAGATAATTCTTTACCCATTAGCTCAAGAGACCAGGCAGTAGATTCTCAAATAATTTGGAAAATGCCTTAAATTTGTTGTGACATGTCCATGCTTAGGTTCCCATGTTCTTACACATGCTATTCTTTCTTTGTGGTATATTGTCTAAACTGCGATTCCCTCTGAAGGATATCCTGAGACAAGGAATCAAATGCAAGTAATTTATCTGGGTGGTGATCCCAGGATACACCAGTTGAGGAGCAGAGAAGTGAGAAAGGGAAGGGAAGGAAGCCAATAAATGACACATTAACAAACTAGTTACAGATGGGGTCAAATGGAGTGAAGTCTCCCTGATGAGTATAGAGAGACTATGTAACACTCAAGAGTTTTCCCAACTGAAGGATGAAGTTGCTTGGCTATTTATCTACCAACTCCAGCTAGTACTTTGTTGGGAGCTGTCCTGGAGGTGATTAATAATTCTCAGCACTTCTAGCCTCTTGCATGTGTTCCTGGGAGTCCAGAAGCCTCAAACAAAGAGATTCAGATGCTGGTTGTTGTAAGTAGAACCAGCATGTGCAGAAATACAGGTTAGGCACCAACAAGGGAGATATATGAGTGGGCACCACTGGTACCTGCTACAAATGCCTTTTCTACTGTCACCTGGCTAATTTATTCTTCAAAACGCAGGGCAGAAATCACCCACTTGGGCAAGTCCTGAATGCATTTTCAGGTCTGGTGAGTTGCCCCACTTTCCTGTGCACCAGCAGCACTGTGTGCTTGTGTCTTTCCTACTACAAGATTGTAAGTGGTGGCCCTGAGCCCCAAGTTGGCTCCTGACTTCAAATCTCAGGATGAAACCATTAACACACTCCCATAGGAGGGAGCCCCTTGGCTTGTAGATGCATAACTCCAGCCTCTGCCTCTGTCTTCATGTCTCCATCTTCTCAGTTTCTCTGTCCTCTCTTCTTATAAGGACACCAGTCATTGGATTTAGGGCCCACCCTAAGTCAGGATGATCTCCTCTCAAGATCCTTAGCTTAGTTAACATCTACAAAGACTATTTCCAGTGGAAATAGGAAGGAGAAAAAAATTCTTCTGTGTGGATGTTAAATTAGTAGAATATGAGACTGGAGCTGCTATGGGCCATCTTACCCAGGATGAGGAGGAAATTGTTCTAAAAATTGAAGCCAAGCCATGAGCAGGATAAATACATAAACAGAGACATGGAAACTTGACATTATTTGAGCCCTTGGATCCAGCCATGCCTGAAGCTAGCACTTCCCCTTCACTTCTCAGTTACATGAGTCAAAGAATTTCTTTTGCTTAACTAGTTTGAGTTGAGTTGCTAACACTGGCAACTGAAATAGTTCGTACTAATACAATCGAGTATTGCACATCTGCTTCCTCCTGGATCGATCCATTTCCACTTCCTCTTCTTGTACCTGACAGGGTCCTGTTTATCCTCAGGTCTCAGTTCAGACATAACTTTCTCAAATAGACTTTCCCTAAACTGATGCCTACCTCCACCCCAGATTCCATCAGTTCTACCTGATGGATGGTCTCATAGCCCTGATACCCTTATCGTAGCACTTATCCCACATGACGGTAATTAGCTGCTTAATTTATTCCCATCCCAGCACCACCACTGCAATGAAATATAAGATCTTTGAGGACAAAAAAAAATTTCTGTTTATTGCTATGTTCAAGTTCCTAGCATAGTGATTAAAATTTGTAGGTGACTAATGTCTACTCCTTCACAGCTTTGACTTTACATTTGTTTTTCAAAAATATGGTGAAATAGTCTATGACCAAGTGTAAGTCATGGCTACTGTGTGTAAGTGTGTGTGTGTGTGTGGCTACTAGACATTGTAATATGTCCTGATTGATTTTTAGTATAGAAGCTAGTAATTGCTTTTACTTAGGGATTTCTTAATAAAATTATAATAATAATTTTTGAAAACTCCCAGGCTGATCAAAGGGAATAATTTGAAGAGGATAATTATACTCACGGAGGATGAAGATTATTGCTTTTCTGGTATTTAGCAGTCTGATTAGACTAAAGAAAGAAAGAACTCAGTTTGCCAGTTCTTCAAGCATTTTCTGAAGATCTGGATTTAAGTCTAAATAATGCATCACCTTGAACTCTCCTTGTTTTAAATAACTTTGGGGTTTTTTTGATTATTGAAGCAAATTCTAATTGTCATAGAAAATTTGGAAAATACATAAAAGTATAGTTGGAGAAAATAGAAAGCCCCGGACCCCCATCAGTGAATCTTTGCATCTTATTTCTGTGTATC